GTGGTTGCCGGTCGATGCATCATAAGTGGCATTGAGAGACCAAGGACTGGCAAGAAGTGGCAGCATCACACGAGGATGCTTACATCCGAGTGTTAGAAAGTGCTTACGGCCCGACGCTGAGATCATGTAACGACAAGCAAGCATTGCCTCGACCAGTCTGCACCCTTGCGGGCCCAAAAAAACGTTCGGGTCGGGTGGGCTCAGGATCTCTGCCCCAAACAATTTACACATTGGTTCTGGCCGTGCCTTGCCTGCACTTCGTGAATGCCCCTTATTGAAGCTACTTCGGCTTCTGCAGAGCGAGGTGCTTGGCGGCAGAAGCTGGCACGAGGTCTGCACGCCTCTCATGCAGGCCGCCTCGTCCTTTCTATGTACGCGTTAGAGTCTGATTAGGTGTCTCTGGCGCAGGTCGGATGGTTTCCAGTCTCGTTGGTAGCTGAGCATGGGAGCTTTAAACAACTATGTGCCAAGTGTTTAGGCATACGACTTCTCCAGTGCAGATCTTCGCCTCAGGCTTCTGCTGGTGTACGTGGCATTTGTCGTCCTGGCCGTCCTGAATGCTCCTTGACCACCTAGGACCTGGGATAGCATAGAACAGCTACCAAAAACTTGACAAGGTTGTGACGGGCGTCTTCGTGGACAATGCTTTCCGATGTGCCGAGAAGCAGCGCAGCCTAGCCCCGTGGCTGCAGCCTTGCTATCTGCTAAGTCTGCAAAGGCCTAAGGGTCTTCGGTTCGAGCGAGGGGTTGGAGATGTTAAGTCATCTTTGCCATGTGCCCATAGGCTTCCCGGCTCTCTCCGGCTCTTCAGCCGAGGCCATTCAGAAAGAGATGGAGCGGCCCTCCGCCTCTTCAAGCCTGTCCTTGTGGTCGTGTCGTCGTGCAGTTTCGGTCCACTGTGCAAGATGCCAACAGTGATGTGGTTGTCGGGCACGGCATATGTTGGGTGACCGGAGTCATTCCAGATGTGTCGATCGCGCCTGAGCGCGTGCTGCAGAGAACGGTGCGCCAAGCCTAGGCAAGAGCAGTTCGTGCAGCAGATACGCGACTTTTTTAGAGCAATGGACCAGGACATTGGGCAAGTTGTGCTTCAAGTGAGGCGACAATGTGAAAAGGGGAGTTGCCATTTATGTAGCAGGATGATTCTGGAGACGTCACGCCGGAGGAATTGGCGGCCCGGTCCCTAGTCCCCAGTTGTTCTACATCACACCAACAGATTTGTTTGGCTGCCCTGCCCTATGATGCCCAGTGCACAATACGTGCGACCGGGAGCGGCAGACAAGACCCGTGTTTCTTCTGCTGTGCAGAAGATAGTTCACCCTACTTGGCGTGCTCCTATGAACTTTCAAGCATCTCGCGTTATGTTAGTTTTGTGTCCAAGCATTTGGGGTGTTGTGAACCCTTGACGCTTGTCGAGTAAGAACAGAACCGCGGAGTCGTGCAACATCTTGATCTACAGCTGGGTCGCATGTCCATGTTTTGTCGATGCCCTGGCAGCCCGATCTGTGGTTGCAGAGGTCAGTTCAATTCATTTCAACTAAATGTCCACTTGATCAGGCTAGAGGCTGCTAGAAGGATAACGGAGGTGTTGGGTAGCCGTGCCCATGCCTTGAAGCTCTGGCCTTTGTTGTTGTGCCGCTGCGAAAACAGATCAGATTCTCCAGTCCAGGACGGCGCAGAGACAGAGAAATGCGGTCGTGGAATGGTTGAACTGAGACACGGGCTTGTGCTGAGGAGATGTTGAAAGACCCGACGCTGTCGGCGTACTTTCGCGTGCTTGGCTTTGAAATCGATGATGCCGCCCGTCAGCACATCATATGTCATAGGTATGCCATAGCGTGGTCGGACAGCGCGCAGTGGTGACTCAGCCCATTGCAGTACAACATGCGGGCCCTCGCGCCTGTAGTGCTCACCGCAGAGTCGACAGCGTGTGGGCAACGACAAGCAAGCTAGGCGGCTCGATTTATCAACTTGCTGGACAAGGACAAGGACGGTGCAATCAGCAATCTCGTCCGCATAGAGCCCCTTGCGCGTGAAACACAACAAGTAAGCGTGCCGAGGCATGGAAGAGTTCCTCCGCGGCTGTCTTCAATACCGCGGCGTCGCCACTGCAGTCGACATGCATCAGTGCCTTCGCCTTGCACCTTGCCAGCAAGCCAGGGTTGCGGAGCACCTGGTTTCGGTGCACACGCGGAGACTCAGGTACGCCAGACTCAGCGTGCACTCCTGGATCTGAGATCTTCCTTCGATGGAAAGCCTTCATCGCCACGGTCTCCAGATGCGAGCCCCCGATACATGCTAGGCGCTTCCCTGCTGCGTTCGTCGAAGATGCTGCGTACTTCCGACCACGCCAGGCTGATACTGATACTCGTGTTCGAGCCCACGGCTCAAAAATACATGCTTGATGTCCGATTAGTGCAGCTCAAAGGCACGAAGGGTGAAGCCCAGCTTTGGTCTTTCGGTGTCCCCAGGGAGTAAAGCAAAACCTGTGAAAGCGTCCTTCTTCCATTGTTCCTTGAGCCATGGACTTGGACAGTGAGGATGCTGACCCAGCGGAAGCAGACACCCTTGACGACCACACCGCAGCCCGGCGATCGAGGCGTGGTAAAGGCACCGAGGTCTCCAAAGAGCTATCTTTGCCGCCTCAAAAGGGCCGCCTGCGCCTGCGACCAACGATCCCGGCTGTCGAAGGCTATGAGGGCAAAGCTGTCAGCAGGGATGCAGTCTTTGGCCGGGAGGAGAAGCTGCTACAAGGGTATGATCGGTTGCAGGAGCGATTGACCGAAAACTTGGACGACGTAGATGACAGCGAGACTCAAGTGGAGGGATCCGCGTTCGGAATCTCGGGTGATATCGAGAAAGAGTATTCCAAGTTGATGCGGTCAGAGCAAGAACTCGCGGTGATGCGACAACCCTCGAGTGCAGACATTGCCCAAAAAGCAGACAATGCAAAGGATCTGAAGAGACAAATCGAAACGTGGGGATCGCTGGTCGAGCTCCGGATCCACTTGGAGGGGGCGTTGTCGATGGCCCACAGATTGCCAAGTGGAATTGTAGCCGGGCTTTTCGACACAGCCGACACTCGCGTTCTGGCTCAGTCTGGTGCTGTGGCCACGGATGTTAGCAAGTTCCTTGGCTCCCTGCTGTCACTACAGGAGCAGATGATCGCACATGAATGTCCGAGTGTGTCGACTGATCTTCAAGGCAGTGCAGCTTCGATAGCTCCGAGCCTAGAAGACAAAGCGTGGCAGATGACAGATTCCAGGTTGCAGGGAGTTCTGGATTGGGCACTCAACGTAGCGGATAATTGGAAGGAGCATACCCGTTTGGATGCCAGGCGCTCTTTTAAGATGCTGGATCAGTCGCTGCGGCTGCAGATGCAGGCAGTCTCCGATGCTGAGCCGGAGAAGCTACGAAAGCGCTGCACCCCTCCTCCTGGCAAGCATGCCGTTTTCGGAAAGTCCGTGAAGGTTATCTCGGAGTCTGCTGAGAGCAGCGCGGCACAAACACCCGACGGTGCGGATGCTAGCCTAGAGAACATCTTCGACGACCGAGATTTCTATGTGCAGCTGCTGCGGGAAGTTTTGTCCAGCAATGCAGGCGGCGCGCTCGCTCAGAGCGCAGAAGAAAAGGAGCTCTACGCAGAAGTACAGGGCCGACGGGCTGCCAAAAGAAAAGCCCGAGCGGATGTTGAGCGTCGCGCCTCTAAAGGGCGGAAGATTCGGTACAGGCCAATAGAGAAGCTACAGAACTTCATGACAGGCCGACCGCGTGGCGTTTTCAGCACTCAAAAGACCTTGGGCTTGGAGGATGTAGAGCCGCTCAGTCAACACGCCTCTGACGCGATGCTGCGTTCTTTGTTCGCTCCAGCGAAAGCGCTGTAGACACGAGTCGTTTCACCGCTGCTTATGCTAGCTTGGCATTTTGCCACGACCTCAACAAACAGCGCGGGCAGAAACCAAAGCGCTTGCAGAGAGTCATCTTCAGGAATGGAAGCTTCAAGGGAAGCGATTGCTTGTAGAGTCAGGCTGTCAGGCTGCCTGCTCACCGCGCACGCTGAAGGTTGAACATCGCTTCATGCCTGAGCGGCAGCACATCGCCCTACCCTCCTTCTTGTGTTTGGGTGATGCATACGCAGGGATGAATACCGATACGAGAGAACAAAGGCATCGCTCGGTTGAACTGCCGAGAACTGCGAAGTCGTCTGCTGGTCAGGAACACCGCGATCTGAAACGGCAATGTCTTTGCCACGGCCTTAGCCACAGCCAGCAGAATGTACTCACCAATGTTTCTCTCCTTGTGCTTTCGTCCGGACCAGGAGAACAACCATCATGACCAATGCCTGATCGTGCTGCTTGTTCGCTGCACAGGAGCTCAGAAGGATTTTTTTATGGCGCAGGCGCACCACACTCCTAGCAATCAGATGTACGCTAGCCAATTGTCGAGAAGCCGGGTGTGCTGCGCTCAGTACACGTCCCTAAGTAGCTCTTCAGGTTGAGCCGAGATGTGTCTTTGAAACAGGTCTCCAAAGGAGACATGCATGTTTCACCTTTCAGATTCCAAGCAGCCCCACCTAAGTGCCCAGAATTTTGAAGGATGTCTCTCTCTTTATGTTTCCAGGAGATTCGGCCGGGTTTGGATCTGTTGGACGGGTGCCGTCGCAATCCGTTTATGGCCAGACTCGGCACTCGTCAGTTCCATCAAGAGCGCAGAAACCTGCTGCCAGGCTTCAAAGGCCTTTAGACCCCCCTACCTTGCAAGAGGAGTGGATCTTCTGCCGACCTCGGCTTGGAAGACTAGTGCTAACTGGTCTCCGCCTTCTTCGGGGGGCGGGGGGTCCCCAATTAATTATGGGCTTCAGTTCCATGGGCCGAGCCCATGGCGTCCATCTCGTGGGCAACCGATCCCTCATAGGAACCCCGGAGCTGAAAAGAGCCTCCGGCTTGCTCCTTTGATCGGGGCTGAGGAGTCTCGCGACCGCCGACACTCTGTGACGTCAGGAAGGAACCGAGAGGCAGCTTCCGGAATTCAACGTCGGAATCTTTGCCCCGTCCTTACTGGGAGATGCAGACTTTTTGCGGTGAGGAAGCAGTTGTGGACATGTTGAGAGAGATCGTTGTAAAGGTCAAAAAGGAGTTCCAAACAGCTGCGGAGTGGCCAAGTGCTCGGATGATCGACTAAACGTCCATGCCTTTTTGTGTCTCTGCAACGAGCTTTGTCTCACGTGGCAAGAACTATCCAGGTTTCACGAGAAGGACAAGAAACAGCTGTTTGCCTCTCAGACTCGGCTTTGTTGTTGTCGCCTATCGGTGTCTTGGAGGTTTGCGCGCCATCAGTCATCAGCAGTGAAACTTGACCAGGCCATTAGGCTCAAGAGGGCTCAGGCCATGCGGCCGGAGAGTCGGCGACATGACTGTGGGCCCGTCAGCATGGCCCCAATGCCACGACTTGGAAGTTCAGGAATTGTGCGCCCGGCGCTATCAGAGACTGAACTTTGGCAATTGTCCATCCGTGTTGCAAGATTTCGGTGTCTGCGAGAGAAGGAGCGAAACAGACTCGACACAACATGTAAGGATAAATGGCGTATACTCAACTATGTATGTATCCATGTGCGGTTGTGTGATCGTGTAGGTATGCAAGTATGCATGTTTTGCACGTAGGTCTCTCCTCCTCCTCTCTCTCTCTCTGTCTCTCTCTCTCTCTCTCCATCTCTCTCCTTTGACATCCATTCCTCTCTTGATTCTCACTCTGAATCTCACTTTCAATCACTCTTGTCGCTCAGACTCTACCTTTAGCTCCGCCTCTCGCACAAACTCGCATTTGCACTCGCAGTCTCATTCGTTTCTGTTCTCTCCCACTCTCGGTGTCTCGCTCTTCCTCTGTGTCTCTCTCTTTGTCTCTCTCTCTACCTCTCTCAATCTCCCTCTCTCTCTCTCTTGCTCTCGCGCCTGTGTAGACTGTTTGTAGATTTGTGGATAGAGCGGCGCGGAGGCACGTCTCAATCTCAGGAATCCCAAGATGTTGACAACTTCGCTTCGAGACCATGCTCAGAAGTTCGGGGCAGCCTCCGCGATCCAGGTTCTTGCTGCCTGGGCGTGATTGAGCATGGATACGATCTGGCTCGATCTACAGGTCCTGCGATGGCTCGCGGAGAATGCAATGGAAGCAAACGTGTGACTTGAGTGACAGATATAGGGAGCAGTCCTCGCTTGGTGCCTGCGTGTGTGTGTGTGTGTGTATGTGTGTCTTCGCAAATTGTAGGTTGGTTG